TCACCTTCCTTTGCATGTGACATTGTGACTCTAATAAGAAATTAGCTGTGATTTCTGAATCTTGAGTGACATCCAACACAGATTCGTATTACAGTTAAAAAAAAAAAAAGTAAAAAAAAGATGACCAGGACTGTACAAACAATGGACTGAATGGAGTACGGGGAATTTTTTTTTTTTTTTTTTAAGTAAGAAATCAATAAGAAGAAAGAGTGAGGTGTTTTTTTTTAATTATTATGTACTGTATTTTTTGTGCAGTTAAAAATGTAAAATTATTGAAATAATATTAATTAATAAAAATTAAATTTTTTTATATTATTAAAAACATCAAAACTTTTAATTCTAATTATTAAATACATGAATCATGTAACATAAAAAAATATATGAATTATAATATAAATTTTATTTTTATCAAATTTATTAAATGTCTTGAAATTAAAAATATAAAAAAATTTTAATTTTTTATAATAAATAAATATAATGAATAATCTTTTTTAACATGGAGAATTACAAAAGATAGAGGGATTTTTCAAGTACTCAATGAGAATCAGACTCTTAATTAAGTAAAAAGTTTAAACAAAAACTATTAAATCTGAAAACTCAATTAAAATATAATGGATAATTCTATTAAAAATATCTATTAAGAAATACATGTTCTTTCAAGAAAAGGAAAATTTTCTGGAAAGGAGATTAATAGAGTCGATTGCCCACTACTTACTGGCCATCGCCTTTGTTTCTCGTTTTTACCCTTCTCCTCCTCTATTATACCCTCCGTTCTTTCTCGCCCGAGCCCGAAGAGACTCACCAGATAAACACAGGTATAGACCCAGAAAATCCAGATCTAATAATCCCGCTGCTAAACTGAGGAAAGCAAAGCTGGAGCAATTGAAGACCATAGGAAGGGAGCTCGCCATGGGCTCCCAGGGCGGTTTCTACCAATCCAAGGAGTTTCTCGATCTCGTTAAGTCCATCGGAGAGGCTCGATCCAAGGCCGAGGAAGATCGCATAGTTCTCAACGAGATCGAGACTCTCAAGCGCCGTATCTCGGAGCCTGACATCCCCAAACGCAAGATGAAGGAGTACATAATCAGATTAGTTTACGTTGAGATGCTCGGCCACGACGCATCGTTCGGTTACATTCATGCCGTTAAGATGACTCACGATGACAATTTGTTGGTGAAGCGGACTGGATACTTGGCGGTGACTCTCTTCTTGAATGAAGATCATGATTTGATCATTTTGATTGTGAATACTATTCAGAAGGATTTGAAGTCGGATAATTATTTGGTGGTCTGCGCTGCGTTGAATGCGGTGTGTAGGTTGATTAATGAGGAGACTATTCCGGCGGTGCTGCCACAGGTGGTGGAGCTGCTGGGACATTCCAAGGAAGCTGTCAGGAAGAAGGCAGTTATGGCGCTTCATCGGTTTTATCAGAAGTCCCCATCTTCTGTCTCGCATCTGGTTTCCAATTTTCGTAAGGTGTGTTTTGGAGGCTTTGTGATTGCACTGGTTTACGTAATTGTAATCAAATTCTGTGATTCTGTGAAGAATTTTGTGCCATTGCGTGATGACCAACCAAAATGTGAACGCTGAATTTTGCCTTCCCATTTGTGGATTCGGCCCTAGAATGATTTTTCTGTGGCAGTAGAGTAAATTTTCTAGTTGCTAAAATTTAAAATTAAAGAAGAGTTATCACTTGAAAACCGCTAGGCATTCATCCTAGATGATAAGCTTGCCTCCTTACTTAATAATTATTTCCCCATAAACTGCTATACAGTGCTGTGCTTACTGCTTAGGGCCATAGAAAATGAAAGAGCTTCTATTCAAGAAAGATCCTCACTTACATATGCAATTTTTTCCAGTAAAGAGAGAAATCAGGAGGTATGTTTGTGAGAGTGTCAAAATTCCCATTGTAGGTGATAATTTCTAAAGATTCATGAAGGTTTCCATTTAAAAATTTTTGCATTGGGCAGGTGAGGTGTTTTGCTATTAATCAACAATGTGAATCCTTTTATCTTAATATTTTTCTCAATGTATTTAATTTTAAGAACCAAATGCCCTTCATTTGCTTAAAAGTGTCTTCCCTTCTTGCAGAAGCTATGTGATAATGATCCTGGAGTCATGGGTGCAACACTTTGCCCCCTTTTTGATCTTATAACAATAGATGTTAATTCTTATAAAGATTTGGTCAGCAGCTTTGTAAGCATTCTTAAACAAGTGACAGAGCGCAGATTGCCAAAGACTTATGATTACCATCAGATGCCAGCTCCCTTCATTCAGGTATATTGCATTTTAGTGTCTTGAGCTCCCTGTGGGCTGAACTGGGTTTTTTAAGGTATTAAAATGTTTGCTGTTGTTTCATTTTCTATTAAATACTGCCATTGTTTTCAATATTTCCACTGGGATCTTTGCTCATTTGACAATAATAATTTCTTCTTGGAGATCAAATTGCTGAAAATTTTGGCATTGCTGGGAAGTGGTGATAAGCAAGCAAGTGAAATCATGTACACTTTAATTGGTGACTTATTCAGGAAGTGTGATTCTTCAAGTAATATAGGAAATGCAGTGCTATATGAGTGCATATGCTGTGTCTCCTGTATAAATCCCAATCCAAAGTTATTAGAGGCTGCGACTAGCGTAATATCAAGATTTTTGAAGGTTTGCCTCTTGTTGCTTGTGCATGCATTGTGGAAGTCTAGAATGCTCTGATTTTTAAATTAGGCTGATGCTAGTGCATTTTTTTTTTCCCTCATTGTCAGAGTGACAGCCATAACCTAAAATATATGGGAATTGATGCTCTTGGTCGATTGATAAAGACAAATCCGGAGATTGCCGAGCAACACCAATTGGCTGTGATTGATTGCCTAGAGGTCAGGCGCTTTGTTCTCTATACGTTTGTCTTTTTGGCAATATTGACCTATATTTTTTACGGTGAATAGTAATTTAGATAAAATACCATCAAAATCTAGACTTTATACTCATTGATTTCCATTAAATATTGATAAAAGGACCCTTATTGGTCTACTCTTTTTATGATTGAACCTTAGTTTTGTGTTTCCTTAAGTTAGAAGTTGTTGAGAGTATATTGTTACATTGTTTCTAAATTAATTTGAGTTAAGGCAATTTTGGTCATTGCTATTATTTTGGATAAGTGCTGAGAAGTAGTCCTTGAGTCTTTAAACAGGAACTATTTATATTATTGGGCCCATATATATACAATCCAAAAGTTAATATGGTAGTTAAAATGCACTGCATATGTTTGTTTAGATGTGCACTGTTTCTATTAGGAGCTAAAGGAATTGCTTTGGGAGGGGAATGCTTTGGTCGGCTGGGTGGAACGCTCAATGTATGACCATCCATGCTGGGGGTACCACAGAAGTATTAGTTTGGATTAAGCAATTTCCTTTTTGTTATTTGTTGATGTTTGCCTGAGTGTGAGACACTGGTTTTGATGCAGATTTTTAATTGATACATTTCATCGTAACCTTTACCCTATCTGCCCTATAATTATTACTCATTCATTGGTTGCCTTTTTACACAATTCTGTGACACAGGATCCAGATGACACCTTGAAAAGAAAAACTTTTGAATTACTCTACAAAATGACCAAGTCTTCCAATGTGGAGGTTATTGTTGATCGCATGATTGATTACATGATTAGTATCAATGATAATCATTACAAAACTGAAATAGCATCTCGATGTGTTGAATTGGCGGAACAATTTGCACCGAGTAATCAGTGGTTCATCCAGGTAATCAAAATATTGCCTTTCCCTGACTAAATTAGTCTTCATCTTCATGTCCAATGTTGGCCATGCCTGATATATTTATTCCTCAGACCATGAATAAAGTCTTTGAGCATGCGGGAGATCTGGTGAATATTAAGGTGGCACATAATTTGATGCGGTTGATTGCCGAGGGATTTGGGGAGGACAATGATACTGCAGACAGTCAACTGAGATCATCTGCTGTAAGTGATCTTGACATTTGTATATTCATTGAACATTTGTACAATCATAGATAAACATTCATAGTACTGCACTATGATATATTGATCTTTAAAATAAGACTGCTTGAAAGAAAAGACCATAATTAATGTAAAATGGAAAATGCCGGACTTATTCAGAAGGTTATTAAGGGATCAAGCGTTAATGAGATTTTCCATGCCACTAAAACTTGTGAACCTATATTTGAGGATGAATTAAGATTTGGACATTCTGATAGTATATTATTGTCTGAAAAAGATTCACCTCCCCAGAGATTTTAGTATTTTTTCCAGACAACTGAGCATAAAGGTTATTCTTTTGACTTGGGTTGCATCAAGTGGATGGAATTTGGTGGAAGCACAATTAGACAACAGGCTGCATCTAAAGTTTGGAAACTACCTAAAAGTATGTGTTAGACAAATTTATGCATGTTCACTGCATATTCTGTCTTTGATATTGGAGATACCTTTTCAGTCTCATACCAGAACTATGCTTCATAAGATTGCTGAAGTTAGAGATAGAGTGCAGTGGACATCCATTCTTCTTGATTTGATCATAAAAGTTGTATAGAGTGTACTTATTGCAGTTATGAATTTATTTGGTGACTTTTATAGTGTCTTGACAGTTAATTAATCCATTGTTGACAATTAAGTTATAGTTTAACTCTTTCTTTTTTCTTACTGTTTCTGCTTTCTAAATTTTTATTTTTTTGTTGCAGGTAGAGTCATACCTGCGAATTCTTAGTGAACCAAAGCTGCCATCTGTTTTTCTTCAAGTATGTGGTGTTATTTTTAGTACCTTTTATCTTTTTCTCCCCTGGTTGTGGAAGCCAGTGAAACTTCATTTAGATTCTTATGTTAATCATGACCTGATTGCAGGTCATTTGTTGGGTCTTGGGAGAATATGGAACAGCTGATGGAAAGTTCTCTGCTTCCTATATTACTGGGAAGTTATGTGATGTTGCAGAGGCATATTCAAATGATGAGACAGTCAAGGTACCCACACCGCAATGGTCGGAGTTGGTTTTTTTCCTGAAAATGTCAATAATTTTTATTATCTCTCTATTCAATTCTGCAATTGGAATTATATTTTGCAACTTTTTTTGAAGGCATATGCGGTTACAGCACTAATGAAAATATATGCATTTGAAATAGCAGCTGGGAGGAAAGTGGATTTGCTTTCCGAGGTAGGATGCAGAACATGCAAGCATTACCTCCATTACATGCAATGCATGTGGATTTTTCTGTTTATGTAGTCTGTGCATTTACATCCTCTTCAGACTTGTAGATGGCAATATATTCCTGCTCTATCTAATATCATTTTTTCCTGATTTTCTCAGAAGAATTTCTTGTTGATAAATTTTTCTTCCATTGTGCAGTGTCAATCCTTAATAGAGGAATTATTAGCTTCACACTCAACAGATTTGCAGCAACGTGCCTATGAACTGCAAGCAGTCATTGGCCTGGATGCTCGTGCTGTTGAGTGTATTATGCCACCAGATGCAAGTTGTGAAGATATTGAGGTGCTGTTTGATGTCATTTCAGTTGACTGCTTAGGTTCTTGTTAATATCTCCTAAAAGATATACTGGTTCTCAACACATTTTTATTCAACTGTTAATTAAGAGTTGTTTCTTGTCTGTCTGTGTGCTATTTCGGATGTCTCTTGTGTCAGTTACCATTTTTTGTGTCTTGTTTACTTAATTTCTGTGTTGGTTTGGTTAGATCTCTTGTTTCTGTAATCATATTAACTTATCCATGCAGGTTGATAAAGGCCTATCATTCCTTAATGGTTATGTCCAAGAGTCACTAGCAAAGGGGGCTCAGCCCTATATTCCTGAAAGTGAACGCTCTGGTGCATTAGATGTCAGCAGTTATGGAAACCAAGAACATCATGGAGCATTAACACATGGTCTTAGGTTTGAAGCGTATGAGCTTCCAAAGCCTGTGGTGCAATCAAGGATTCCACCACCATCACTTGCATCATCAACTGAACTTGTTCCAGTGCCTGAGCCATTGTATTCCAGGGAGAACCACCAGGCTGCATCGGTGCCATCTGTATCAGACACAGGATCATCAGGGCTCAAGCTACGACTTGATGGGGTTCAAAGAAAATGGGGTGCACCAACTTACTCCTCTGCTTCTACTTCTACCTCTACCTCTAATACTACAAAACAGAAAACAGCTAACGGGGTCACACAAGTTGATGCAGTTGCCACATCCAATTTGAGTACTCGTGATACTTACAATTCAAGAAAACCGCAGGTTGAAATTTCTCCAGAAAAGCAGAAGCTTGCTGCTTCACTTTTCGGAGGAACATCAAAAACAGAAAAGAGGCCATCCTCTAGTGGCCATAAAATTTCGAAGACAGCTTATACATCAAAATCTAGCAATGACATTGCATCAGAGAAGACAACTCTGGTTCAACCGCCTCCAGACTTGCTTGACTTGGGGGAACCAATTGCTACTAGTAGTGCTCCTTCTGTAGTGGATCCATTTATGCAACTGGAAGGGCTTCTTGATCCAGCCCAAGTTGCTTCAGCTATGAATTACAGTGCAACTGCTGCTGCAAAAGGACCAGATATTATGTCACTTTATGCAGAGACACCCGCAGGCATGGAGGGTAGTGGTAATGCAAATTCCTTACCAACTGATGGAGATGATCTTTTATCTGGCTTGTCAGAACCAACCAGAAGTGTGCCAGGAGGTACTACAGCAACACACCCAGTGCAATTTAGTAAAGGTCCAAACCCCAAAGACTCCTTGGAAAGGGACGCCCTGGTTAGGCAGATGGGTGTAAACCCATCAAATCAGAATCCCAACTTGTTCAAAGATTTACTTGGCTGAAGTTAAAAAGAGTTTATGTGATTACTTGGTGATTGCAGCATGGTTTTTCATGCAGTTAGGTACTTAATAGCCAAATTATTCATCCTACATGTTAGAGAGGCAGATACTGTTGCTCAGTGAGCTCTGTATCGAGTTCTGACTTTTAAGATCTGGGTTCAGGTTTGTAGTTGTTGAACAGCATCGTAGGAAGAACGAAAGTCTGCCTTGGCAATCCCTTGAGCTACTTACAGGGGAGCCTTTTTCTGCTTGTTTCGGCCATCAAAGGGTCCTTGGCATGCTTGAAGACGATCGTGGGTTTTGCCTTGCATGTTCGCTTGCTTTTGGACTGTATGATATCATTGTATGCTGTATCAATAATCCTTTTTGGGGTATTTGTTTCATTCCTCTATTAAATTTCTGGCAAATTTAGGTGCATTCATTTAGTTAGAGTATCATTGGAATTTGGCTATGAAAATCAACCAGACAATGTATTCAGCAATGCGACCTGCCTTGTTTGGATTCTCTTTTCAATGAGTTTGAAAAATTAAACCTCGAAAGTTTTTGCATATTGTTGAGAAATGCTATTGCGCTATTGCTAACCCGACAAATCAAGATGTGCTTCTGTAGTAAAACCACGTTAAACCATATTATATGTCATCTACTTCAGAAATATGTTCTCCAATCCATAAATTTGATCTGAAAAATACAGAATTGTAATTTTGCTGCCTTTCAGGAAAAAAAGAACTGTAATATTGCCTTGAATGAACAAAAAAGTGGGCAAACAGTTGAACACATGCAACTTAAAGACAATTTATTTGACAGTGGATCACAAGGTGTTTGTAGGAACAGAATCTAGAGTATAATGCCCCAGCCTCCCAGTACGATACAGATTCAGTAACTTAGCCGCAATTTTGCTCTCAGCATCCTGACCTAATTCTAAAGGTGCATGAAGTGGTGTCCTCAAGGATGTGAACTGTGCCTCAATAAGTCTTTCCAAATCCTCTTCCCGTTCAAGGTGACCATCAAAACATGAGATTGTTTCAAAGAGAGTCCAACGGACATCACGCACTATAGAATCCTGCATAAGATCATGAATCCATTTTCACATTTTTGTTCGCATACTCTTTTTTGAGATATGTAGTTGGGGTTAGAGCTCATACCTGTGTATGATCCGTAGGAAATTGTCTTTTTTGTTTCATTTCCAACACTGAGCTACTTGAATGCTCTTCTTTATGCTCTATGAATGACACTTCACTACTGACGGTGGCTAACTTTGCCCATTTCTTGTATTGATCGCTCAAGTTGAGAATAGCAAGAAAATATTGAGCAAGCTCCATTTCTCCAATCAAACTGTCTCTAATTGCTCCTGCACTTGAGGAAGGAAATTTGATCTGATATTGCTTGATAACAGTGTTGAGTTTACTTGAGGTCTACTTCTGTCTTAATAAACAGCATATTCAACCACATATGGATAACCTATTTCAAACCATTGATAGCCATAAGAGGAGGGAAATCATTTTCATGACCAGACCTGTTAAGGCTAATTTGGAGCAGGCTTCAACATCATGAATCTCAGGAGGCAAAATACCAGGAGTGTCCAAAACGTATATACTAGGGTGACTAGCAATCTGGGACAAACAAATCAACTTTCAAATGTCACTTTAACCAGCAGAAACATAAGTTAAAGATAATTTCAAGGTAAAAGCCTGCATACTTTCAAGCTGCTGATATTTTTTGTCTCTCCTGGATGTGGACTCACTGTTGCATGCCTCAACTTTCCTTTCTCTAAGAGAAACAACAAGCAAGGTTATTTCATTAAGGAGGATGAGAAAGTGAGATGCTAAGCTAAATGCTTCAAACAACTAAAGGAATCTTGTAATTAAGAAGGTTTAAGAGGTTATAGTACCTGCAGCACTAATCCTCCCAATTTGATGCATAGAATTGGCAAGCGCTGATTTACCAACGTTAGGAATTCCGAGTAGCAATACTGTTATGGTATCATTAGAATGATTATTTTTCTTTAGATCCCTGACTCGAGCTTGTAAAAAGTTGAGAAACTGGGACAAGCATCATTAATTGTTTTAGGAAAAAAGCAGACAAAAAGTCATCAGTTAGGGGAATTGACATTGTCCTAGTTAAAATGGATGAAAGTGAACAATCAAGTAACCCTCCCAGATCTTCATTCTCTTGTGAATCAAGTGAAAAACAAGTGAATTACCTCCTTGACATTGTCCTTGTTATGGGAATTGACTCCATAAGAAATGCAGTTTTGTTGCTCAAAGTACTTCATCCACTCCTAAAAAACAAACCATATATAATGCAACTAAGACTAAAACTCAATACTAAAATCAGAAGCACATTAATTTTACAATCACAAACATGATAGAAACAAGGCAAAAAAGAAAACACCTTTAGTTGGGATCTATTAGCCAAGTCCATCTTGTTCAGGACGATAACTCGCCGAGCGGATGAAGGGTAATTTCTCAAGAGGTCATACTCCGATGTCAAAGGAATCTGAAAGCTTAAACCCATCAATCAGCATGCAAAAATGAGAAGACTTGGTTGAGGCAATTCGTCGAACAGAAGGTAGAATACCCTGGCATCTCTGACTTCAAGGAGGAGATCGACCATTGGGATTCTTTCAGATATGGCCCTCGAGGCAGCAGCCATGTGAGGCCCGTACCATCCTATCCCCTTGGATGCTGCTTGCTTCACTGCAGCTCCTATCTGCCTTGCTAGTTTACTGGCGCCAGTAGCTGTTGCCATCCATTTATCTATTTCCTCAGGAGGACACTGATGAATTGGAAGTTTGGAACTCAGCCACCTCTTTCAAGTCAATCAAACCAGACAGGTGGGCCGTTTACAAACCGATCCGGCCCAGGAACTATAGTTTGGGCCACTTAGAAGAACAAAGCCCATTCCAATAAGAAAAATGGTACTTCTTTTTTTGAGAAATGTAAAAACGTTTTGATATTAAAAATTAAATACGTTTTAATCATAAATATGTTTGGATTAAAAAATATATATAAAAAAAAAAGAGGGAGGAAAATTTTATCTTTCAATTTTTCTCTTTTCTCTTCTTCTCCTTTCATTTTATTTGGTTAAGTAAATAAATTAAAGAAAAAATAAAATAAAATAAAATTTTCTCTTTCATCTAATTTTTTTCAAAATTAAATAATTTTTTTTATTTTTCACAATTTAAATATACTATAAATAAATTTAAGTAAGCCTATATTATGGTTTATTCTAAATAGTTTTTTTTATAAAAATTTATAATTTAAATTATAAAATATAAATCTACACTATAGACCCTTGCCGAACGAAACATTTCTGTTTTGCAGTCCGGTCAATGCAAAACGGGGATCCTCTTTTTTTTTTTTTTTTGGGTAAAAAATTGAAAAGAGCTCCCCCTAACATATCATTTCTTGCGAGCCGCGAGCCCCAATTTCGAAGGTGCCAGAACGAGGAGGGTGCTGCTGCTTCATTTTCCTCACCGTTTCTCCTTTCTCCGGCGGCCGACGCTGCTATAGCCACTCTTGTACTCGCCGTTCTTTCTTCCGTTCTCTCTCCTTCAGCGGTTTTCACTTCAACGCTTCTCTGTTTCTACCTTTCACTCTTCAGCTCACTGCATTTCTTTCTCTTTTCCTCGCCGCTAAAATCTAATTCCGTCTCTTAATTGGAGCTGCTAAGAAGGCATCCCTTCTCATCTCTGAAATAGGAAATCTGATTCGAAGAATTGATCCATGGAGCAAGAAGCTGGTGGTACTGACCACCATTTTGTAGGAACCAGACGATCGGATCTGAAGAAGTCCTTCAAAGTGGCTGTTCGCTCTCTTCTAACTTCCTGCTCCAGAGAGGTAAGCCATTTTTTCTTCGAGTTCCTCTTACTTAATGTTCTGTTATTGATTTAGCTTCAATAAATTTTGATAAAATTTAGTTGGTACAAATAAATTGTTGAATCACATGAGAGCTTCCAATTCTGGTATCTAAATTCTGTTTAGAATTCACTTTTTTTTTTTTTTTTTCATTTTTTGTTCCAATTTGATGGTTTAGTTATAAATTCAACAAATAAAAGTGCAAATGTGGGATAACTCATTCTTTACTTTGATGTTTTATTTCAATTATAAAGGATTTCAAAAAGGCATTTCCAAATTTTACAAATGCTGAGCGACAACGTTTGCACCAGCTATTTATTCAGGTATCTTTCTTTCCTTGCACTTATGTTGTGCAGATATTGTATTTTTGTAGTGTGCTTTTAGCCCCATTTTATGCCCTAATACTTCACATTTTTTGTGAAAATTTTCAGGTGGTTACTTCTTTGCATGCAAATATAGAGGTATAATACTAATTTCCTTTTTCCATTTGTTTATCATACCTTTATGAGTTTCATTCTCTGTTATCACACATTATTACTATCTTCTTGGTTTCTTTATAGAATATAGTTGGAAAGGGATTGATGGGATGACTATTTCATATCTCTTCTTTAGTTAGGAAATTGGAAATGGGTCTTAACTGAAAGGAAAGCATTACTTTATAGGTCACCCAGAGAATGTGGTACCTGTTTAGCTTCTAGGGAACCAAGAAACTTGTTGTAATTTAACTTGTTATTTAGAACTTGTATTCTAGTATCATCTTACATGTCTGACTTCCATTATTGTCCCTTAAATGTTACAGGAGGAGTTTGAGTCTTTATGCCTTGAAACACAGGTAGACCTTTTATTATTCTTCTCTGGCAGTTTTGTTAATTTTCATACTTTCGTATTTTTTTTGCTTTTATCAAATGGACATGTCACATCTCAATTCTCACATGTGATGAAAAGCCGGTTCTCATTCAGCATGGTTATCTAATTGTGTTTACTTGCTTACCATTTTGTCTCTCATCATTGCTATGATTATCAGGTTGGAAAGATTCTTGATACTGTGGAGCAACTTGTTGAAGAGCAAAGTCTTGATCCTTTGTATTCAGATAAGTGGGTACCATTCACATTTCTTTTTTGAGTGCTCAATTAATAAATTTTCTAAGAGAGAATAGGAGAATTATTCATATTCTATTTCTTGAATCTTGTATTGTTTTATATTATGTCCAGTTTCAACTTTGAAGTCGTATCATCTTAGATATGTACTATTTTAAGCTTCTAAAAAAATCATTGCTTCTTCATTTCATTTCATTTCAATGATTAGATTTAAGTGCATGAACTCTCATTCTGCACATTGTTTAGCACACGAATACTGGTCTCTGGGGGAAGTTCTTTGTGCCAGAAACATTGAAGGCTTTGTCACTTATGGTTTTTAATTTTTAATTTTATCTTTTTCCTGGATGGTGAGAACCTGGGAGAGTAGTTTGGTATTTGAAGTGAAAGGTGGATTTTAGTCTTTTGCAGAAGGGAGCCTCATTTGGTCCAAATTTGTTTTTAGAGGGTTTCTACTTCTATTTTTCTAAGAAAGCCTCACTGCTGGTGACCTAGGGATTAATTTCTGAATTTCACAACTCTAATTCTGTATCAACAAGGTCCTTGTTTTGAGGCCCAGTTTGCATAATAAGAAGACTTGAAGGTTACCATCCCAATCCCCATACAAGGGATTCATATGTAGTTCCTTCTCTTTGTTATTCATCAAAGAATCGCTAAAATTGTTGTACTCAGTTATACCTGAATGGAGATTATCAGGTTCTCTACTTTTATTCTTATGCTTTCTAATAAAATTGGAATAGTGGCCTCAAAGCAACATGCTAATAATTGGGTTAGGCTTCGTTTGACAACACTTCTCGGTACTTTAGCTTTTGGTTTTTATGTCTTTTTCTTATTTTAAAATATGTAAAATGTTAATTAAAATAAATATTAAATATATTAAATATATTTTATATATTTTTAGGATGTTAAGGAACTAAGAAATCTACAGCTACAACTACAGGTTAGTGTTGTCAAACTAAGCCTTAGCCTCAATGCATCATATATTGATATCCAGCATCAAAGAGTTATCTACTTATCTTGGTTATAATAGTCATCCACTCCTTATTGAACCATTTTCACTTGATAGCATGCAAATCTTAAATTACATGATTCTGGGCTTTTCTCATCTGAAGTTTTGGTGACTGGAATTTAGGACTAACATAGGGGATGTGGTACAAAATTTGGCAAAAGCAAAGGAGAATGAGATCCAGTTCCTCAGGACTACGCTGGAAAAGGTAAGATTTTCAGATTATTACTGCATTGTTTAAGAAGTGATGATGGAAAATTATAATCATGTACATACAATATTTATTTGTGCTTTAACTGATGAAATTAATTTTTTGATTTTGTCAAAGTGGTAACTATCATCATGATCAACGGCAAGAAAAAGAACTTCAACCAATCTTTCCTCTCCTTCTGCATTCTTATTGTCCCTGTTTGTTTATTAGGCTGAAGAACGTATGCTTCTTGTACAAGCCCAGATTGAACAACTTAAGAAAGGAGCACAAGAAGTGTTGGGCTCAACAGATGTTGTTGAGAAGGTTTTTTCTATAATCTTTCCCCTTTCTTAAACAGACTGTATCATTGGAAGTCAGGTTTCAAGCTTATATGTATCTGATGGCTAATTCAGTTTGCAAGAACTTAAGTTGTGTTTCTCTAATTTGAAATTTTGCAGTTCAGAAGCAGCATTTCAAGTTATCAAACATGAGACGGAAAGCTTTATGACCCATTCTTGGCAGCTAGTTCAGTGACAAAACTAGATTATGTTATAGGCTCCATGTTAATCAACTAGTAATATTTCAAGCATGACGATCTGTTGTCTTATTATTTTGAAAATGTCAAGTATATTGCTATTCAGTCAAATATGGTGGTTTGCTGAAAACTCAAATGAATAGTCCCTAGTTGTTAGAGAGACTTGATAAGTAGAAAAGGAAGAAGTGGACGAAGACATCCAAGCCATGATTGCTGGAGGAGTGGATATAATGTATCATCAGATTCCAGATTTGGAGACTTAAAGACTGGTATATATGCATATTCTCAACTGAATGTAGGCAACTTGTTTATGAATAATCAATTCACTCGACACTCGACACTCGACATTAGTCTTTCTTATTGCATCTATTTACTTTGCAATAGACATGGGGTGACTGGCACTAAGACATGCTATTGTAGTAGTTTTGTACTTCTATTGTCTTCAAGAGAACTTTGGTTTGCATAGTAAGTTGTTCATTATGACTAGATGTCATTAGATGATTGTTGCTACCCAGAACCTGCTAGTAAAGTTTACATGATTTCGCAAAATATCATCTTGTAAAAAATCCATGTATTTCTGCAATATTTGGATGTAGAAAAAGCCTAAGCTTTTGTTTTTTCAACAGAAGCAGGTTGATAAAGAGAATGTTTGGGTTAGTTTCTAAGAGCATTTACTTTTTTTTGTACTGTTTATGAGTGATAAATTTAAATTTTTATTAGAAAAAAAATTTAAAAGTTGTTTTTAAAAATAGGAAAAAATGAGTAAAAAAAGAGTTTATGAAAATATTGGATTTGAAAATTTTAAGATTTTACTATTTAAAATTAAAAAAAATAATTAAAAAATATAAATTTTTAAAAAAATATTTAAATTTATGAAATATGAATAATGTCACGCTAAAAACCAAGCATTTGGATGAATCAAACATTCTCAAAATTTTCTCCTAACACAACGAAAGGCCCAGCCTTCTCTGTTTGGTTGTCAATGAGTTATATTGACATGACTTATATTCAGTTACTGGACCTTTCTAGCTTTTGCTTTGGTTGGATGATAATCGGATAATCCACTAAATTCCGGTGAAGGGCTTATGGACCATTAGCCCCACATGGCCCAACATTCCCCTACTTTTAACTGTGGGTCTTCTTACCCGTTATAAAAAGGAGAGAAGAAGAAGAAAAAGGGCAAAAGGTACCCATTTACCCCTTAACTTTTCGATTTTGAGGGTTTTTACCCTTCATATTATAATACATGAATTTTTGCCCTCCATATTTTCGAGTTTGAGGAAATGAGGCAAAATTTAACCCCGGAACGTCACGTGTAGCACGTGCACCATTAGCCTCCGTCAAGTATGCACATGTCAACGCCACCTCAGACTTTTTTGACAACTTGGCATGCCAACTTGGAATCACATGAGCGGGAAATCTACCTGCTACCAATTTTATTTGTGGGCCCCATTGCTAACTAAAGGTTTGAAAAAAAAGGTTAAATCCTCGATTCAGTCCCTTAACTTTCATTTTTAAACTAAATTTACCTTCAAACTTCAAAATATTGTGACTTGGTACCAAAAATATAATTTAATAAATAAAA